TTGTGAACATTTTGTAACAGAGGCCGTAGTTGTTGAAAAAATCATTTTTCTTGTAATAATTGCAGGCCAAAATAACATTTTATTCTGTCTTATCATGATTTAGAGTAAAATTAGAAATTCAATTAATTTCATGATAAATAAATTTTAGATTTTAGTAGCACACCTAAAATATAATATAGTTTAGTTCAATTTTGAAGACATATTAGCATTACCAAGTATGTGCAACTTGGTTTGATCCAAAAAACATTCCCTAATTTCTTATGATTATATTAGTATAAACACCTTAATAAACTTGACTTTGTACTTTTCTTCATGGTTAGCTTTTGATCATAATATAATCAGCTTTAACTATTTTTTTTATTTCAAGATTAGCCCATACTTTTATAGTGATATACATGTTTAATTAACAAAGTATTATGACCATACATTTGCATGATTACGTTTAATTACATGTTCATTAGGATCCCTTCAGAAGTTGCTTATCTAAAATTTATTTTTAAATTTTAGTTTTTAAAAATAGCTATGAAGAATGGTTTTGACAAAAAAATTCATATCTAATTAATATAAATCTATGAAAGTTTGATTTAAGAAAATAAAACTATTATGTTTTTACTTCGTATTAGCAGTAATGAAGTCTCCATATTTCAAGCCTATATGTGTGTGGAGTGATTCAAGGTGATGAAGACAAATGGAGCAATACTTAAGCTTCTTTCCACCTTGAACATTTGATAAGTTATATTCGTTATGAACTTACTCCCTAAGTTTTATCCGATCAATTTTCGTTGTCTAAGTTTCATGAATTCGCTCAATAAATATTAGCTGATTAGTCATACTATATATAATAGAATAAATTCGAGCTGGTTCGAGCGCGACTCGATAACGAGCTCACGAGCCGAGCTTATCGAGCCACGAGCTCGAGCTCGTTTATTAAGCGATCTTGAGTTCGAGCTGGTTGAGGCTCAGCTCATGAGCTTATGAGCCAGCTCGAAATTATTTAATTAATTAAATTAATTATCAAACATTTTTATTTAAAAAAAATCGGTTTCGTCTCTCCATTAATTATATAGTAGCCTATATGATAGATTCTCAAAAAATAAGTAAAATATTTCTCTTTGGCTCATATGACAGCCTATATGGCTTATATGATAGCTTATATGACAGGTACTATTTTTTGCTAGTTAGTTATGATATTTTCATTAATGCAAGTTGTCTAATTTTGAAATAAGGAACGGACACAGGCGCCAAAATGAGAAAGTGGGTGGTAAAATGGGACAAATGTGAAATTTGGTACGAAATTGAGCAGCTTGTGAGCCGGTTCGAACTCGTTTATAGTAGGATGAGCTCGTCTTTTGTGCTCGACTCGAGCTCGAGCTTGCTTTCCGACTAACGACTCAAACTCGACAGTGCTAAATTGGACTCGACTCGACTCGTTTACACCCCTACTTATAATCAACACATACTTAACAACCCCAACTTCCTTTTAACCAATAAGTTTTAACCCTAGCTTCATCTCATTAGCCCTAGCCACTCCTCATCAAAGCTAGATTCTATTGGTTAATAGGAAGCTAATAAAAAGATCAATTCAAGAAATATTTGATGAGTTGAGAGACATATTTAATCACCTTAAAAAAAGGAATAAAATGAATGCATATTAAAAATTCAAAGGATCATTTTGATTTTTTACTTATAATTTAGTTATTTTATAAAATAATTCTCTCTCTCTCTCCTAAGAAGGTTGACTCCCCCTCTTATTATAATTAGTTTTAATCAGCTAGTTTGCAACTCTCTCTCATAATTCTCTATTAAAAAGTGCAATTAAAGGAAAAAAAGAAAGAGAAAGAGGCAAAATACAAGTAGAAGAGGAAAAAAGAGAGAAATCACAAGAAATGAAGGAAGCTATCATCAAAATAAAATTATAAATTGTAGTTATAATCAATCTATATCTATTTCATAAACTTCTTCCTTCTCTTCTCTTAATCACCATATGTTTTCTCTGATTATCAAAAGATTCCTAAACCCTAAACTTAATAGAAGCGGTAAAAAATATCCATATAATTACAAGAGATTTTTAGGTTGGAATCACTTTGAAGTAATAGAAGTTACTAGGTCCCCGATCTCTCTGAGGTGTGTTATGGCATCGCCCTAGCCACCTTGTGCCATCGCGCCTGGAGCTGCTTCCTCCGTCGTTCGCGTGCCAAGGGAAGTCTTCTTCCCTTTCTCTTCTTCTTGCTGTTTTTCCTCTGCCGGCATGGCGGTTAACCGGCATGCCGATTCTGGTTTTTTGGTTGGATCTGCTAAGTCTCGTTCGTTCATGGAAGCTTTATCTGGATCTTCTTTTACTGGTAGATTTTCAGATCTCAAATGTGCTTTGTTTCATGGTGTTCCTGCTTTGTTGGTTTTGAAGGATGAATTTTTCGCCCTAGCCGAATCGATTCAATTTTCTTTAGTTGTTTTTTCCCCTCTCGTCGTCCTAGTCTCACTTCGATAAGAAATTTTTTCTTCAATCTTAAGTTGAATGATGATTTCTCTGTTACTTTGTTGGATCAATCTCATGTGCTCATTAAGTTGGAGAATGATCTTAACTATTGTAGGGTTTTTTTTTTCCATAAATCTTTTCTAGTGCATGTATAATTGTTTCATGAATGTGACCAAATGGTCCCCTTCTAATGATATTGGTGTCGATTCTTCCATTGCTCCGATCTGGATTTCTTTTCCTAACTTGCGACCTCATTTCTTTTCCCCTCGTATTCTGTATGATTTGGGGCTTCATTTTGGTAGACCACTAAATGTATATAATGCGACTGCTTTGGGGTGTGGCCCGAGTTCTAGTAGAGATCGATATTACCCAAAAATACTCGGATAAAATTTGGCTCGATCTTGAGAAATTAAGGTACTTTCAAAAAGTTGTCATGGAGGATTTTCCTCCTTTCTGTGCCACAAAACCAAACGTCTAAGACATTCTATTGTTGCTTGACGGCCTTCATTTAATAATGACCTTGTTAATGCTCCTTCTAATCCTAAACCTATTTTTAGGGTTAATGAGGAAATTGGCCTTCCTTTTGGGTGGTGGGGTTTTGGTTGATAGTGTTCCTACTCATCCTGTCTCTAATGCGGCTGGCCCGTCTCTTGTTGAATTGTTGCTTCTAAATCAATGTGATACTAATGTGGGTGATGCGGATGTTTCTCTTTATTCCCTGCCTTTTATTTCTAATGGTGTATAAATTATTTTTGCTTAATTTCTAATCCTATTACATGTATTGTGGTGGGTCCTGGAGCGTTTATTTCTAGTTTGGTTGGTACGGATTTGGTTTCCAATCCTTATAGCCCCAATCGTCTCCCCAACAGCTCCAATTTCTGCTATTGTGGCTTGTTCTATTAGAACTCCACTCATTAATGTTGTTAGTGGAAAGGCGGTTTGTGGAGGCTTTGACGGTGATGTTAATCCTGTTGTGATTCTTATCCATATGTTCCTAAATGATAATAATTGTTGTATTAATCTTATAGCTAGTCCTACTTGTACTGATGTTATGGAGATGTCAGGTGATAATTTTGTCTCTTTAGTTGATGGGGGTCGTGAAACCTTGGCTGAGATGGATGATGTCGGAGTAATGGTACCTCTGGTTGATGTGTTTATATATGTTATCTCGAATGTTGATATGTTAACCCATCTTGCTAGAAATAATATTGTGAGGCAATGTGATTGGTTATATGATGACATGTCGTCTGCAGTAGGGGAGGAAATTATTGAGAGCGATTTGGATGCTTAAGACAACTTTGATTTAAGTCTTCTTCAAGTTGCAGATGTTGGCTTGCTTAATAATAATGTCAAGCATATAAAACAAAAATCTAAAAAGAAATGACTTTCCTTTTTGAAAGTTTTGTGGCTGTGGTGATTTGATTTATTTCAATTTTGGTTGCTTTGCTGTGAGAGAAATGGAACAGGACTATGATTTAGCAATTTTACTGCATGTGCCTTGAATGGCTAGGGCTTGGTTAGCAACCTTGGTGGCTTGTTGTAATGGTTTGGTTTTATGTTGACTTGGAATCTTGGTTGTTTCCCTATTTTCTCCTTGGATGGGCCGAGTCCTATTGGTTCTGAGTTGATTATTCTTTCATTCAGATTACTATTGGCCTGTTGCTTTTTATTTTTCTCTTATTGTAATTCTCTATATGTGACCTTTTTGTGATCATGTGATGTATCCTTTTCATTTAAAAAAAATCCATATAGTTACAAAAAAAATTCCATATAATTACATAATAAATAAATAAATAAAATATCCATATAATTACTCTGTCCAATTACATTTAAGCCATCTCCCATTTAATCCAAATTAAAGATGGTATGTCATTAACCAATTAATTCTAGTATATAACTATGCTACTATAATCAATTGAAATTTAAGTTTTCATTTGAGATAACTTTATTATTGCTTTCTAAAACGACTTTCTAATATAAATATTTCTTAAAATAGAAATTTTTATTTAAAAAAACTACTTAAAAAAAAGTAGTTAAAAAATCATTACAAACAAAACCCAAGTTTTTACTCAATTTTTGGTCTAATTGAAATTGACAAGCCATACTTTTAACATTAATAGATTATATAATCATTTCTTACTAATTTTATAACACATTCAACTAAATTATTTATAATTTATTGGAGACAATTTTCTTACTGCCTTCTATAACAGCTTTTTATCACAAATTCTTAAAAAAAAAAATAATAGCAAAAAACTATCCTAAACGAAATCTTATTTAATATGATATCATACCTTAATTAAATTAGATATTACAATTTCTACATACATTAACATATAATTAAATAAAATAATTTTTAAAAATTATTATAAAAAATAACTTTCTAATACAAATTTTTTTTAGAAGCAAGAAAAAAATAACATCCAAACAGATATTATAGCTGTAAAAATAACAAATAAACTTACAGGAGCTGCTCTGCTCTGCTGCCATGGAGCAGCTTGGATCAACAAGTTGATGCAGATCATGATTTAAATGAATAACAATAGCCTATTTCATCTCTTTTCTATTGTACATTTTCTTCTACTAAAAAGATTTACAAATCAAAATCAAAATTGTGATGTAATTGGTAAGTCACTCCAGGATTTCCATGGTCTGTTCTTTCAATGCAGTATCAGTATTGCCAAGAGAATGCTAGCATATGTGACACAAACTTCCTTTATAAAACCCTAATACACATAACTGAAAGAATAGAAACAAGTGAAGGCAGGAGCACCAAAGAAAACAGAAATCCCCAGTCTCTAGACATCAGGAAGAAGCATCAGAACAAAGCCCTATATGGGGTCCTGGTTGGGTACCCATGCTTTACTCGAACTGGCTTCGCCCGCCCACCCACGCCCATCAATGATGACTTTCGGGATGCCGTACCCACCTATATCCACCCACTTTTTATGCTTTTTGAACGCAGTCTACCACGGACTGATGGCCTTGAGGCTTGTTGCCCTTTGCTCTGATTGCAAACTTTCAAGCCACATCAGAATTTACCGTAGTCGCAGCGTGGTTAAGTGCTGCACACTACATAGTGAGGATAGCGGTAATATAAGATATCGATGGGTGTGGATATGGGTACCCAATGCAGGGCTCTGCATCAGAATGGAACTACATATGGAAGAGCTAATACATCAGCCGAATCAATCCGCATTGCCTCGGCAAATACCTGAGGTATTTTCTCAGCCTTGAGCTCTGTTTTAGACTTCTGCAGAGAATCATGGAGGTTGAAAAGCCATTCCTGGTCATCAAGCTTGGGCAATTCCACCATTTTCGGAACGGCGTAGATCTGGCTTAGATACTTGGAAATTGCGTTGCCATTTATCAATCTTTCCTTGTTTTCTAATAATCGATCTGGTCTCAAGGAAATGCTAGATGGAGCCGTGAGATGTAGTTCCCATAGCCTTGGTATCTTTCCAGGCCGTTCATCATTTTCTGTGAATTACAGGAGATAAAACCAGTCACTGCATATAGAGAAGAACCACGTTGCTCAGACAGATTTGTTAGACGTAGAGGAAAACTTACTAACCTTTTATATAGCCATTGGTGTCGAGGTTCTTTCTTTTTTTCATAGTTCCATCCACACATTCAGTACCAATTGCATTGTCTTTATGAGGGGCTAACGGCTTGCAATTTAGAGTATCTACTTGATCCTTCTTTCCATAGTTTCTGAACTTATTAGCCACTATAGCTTCAGCATTCTCCACTATATTCTCCTCTGTGCGAATATACTCGGCTTCTTTTTGAAGAGAAATGGCAAAATTTTCAATGGGCGGGTCACTTCTATCGTTTCTTCTTTGCACTGAACCAACCTGAACAGAAAACGCCTGGCTAGCCGCAACTCTTTCGTTTCCCAGTGACGCATTGGCAGTGCCCGCCGCCCCTTTGAACTTTCTTTGAATCGAATTTGCGAAGCTCCCAACCATTGGATTTTCTGCCCCATCATATTTAGTCCTCTTGCCCAACTCTTCTTCAGTCTTCTGCAAGCTTTCTTTGATATGTAACTCATTGTGACCCTGGGATAGACCTTCAGCTTTTCGGTCTTGTGATGTCCTGCATATGTCCCTATCCTTTTCGTTTTTCCTGTCTTTATGCTTTTGATCCTTATTTTCCTTGTGTTTATCTTTGATTCGATCTGTTTTGTTCCTTTTCTCTTTGTGTCCTCTCTTCTCTTTGTCTCTCTTTTCTTTTTTATGCTTCTTCTCTACGTGTTTTTCCTGAAAGAAAAAAAAAAGGGGAAATTTTAAAAAACAAACTCAGATCACAGAACATTTAGATAATCTCAACAAGTATTCAAAATGATACTTAAAGATGTAATCAAATTTTTAACTTGCTACAACACATCAGCACTTTAAGACGCGGGACACAAAAAATTAAATGCATATAGAAAATAAAATAGATGTAAAGCATTCCTCTTTCACAATTCACAGGCAGAGCAAAGTGGTTCAAGAGTGAAGGGTACATTATTTGGCATGAGGGCTTATAACAAAAAAAGAGTATCTAACAAAAAAGAATCACTGAATATACCAACCTCAACAATAAATGGATTCATGAGTATCCTTGATGATAAAATAACATGCTCTGCAAAATATTTAGTTTCATACAAGCTGCTCCAAACTACTAAGGAGATCTATCCTTATATGCTGCAAAAGAACTAATAAAAAATTTTAAAGGTCAAAAGACAGTTTTAACATAATTTCTGGCAAGTATTGCATAAAGCTTGCATTAGCATGGATATGGGTAATTCGGACTACAAAATGAAAGCCATTCTTCTGAGAAATCAGCGCATGTCCAATTTTTAAGATCTCCCAGAAAAGAATTGATAGATAAACATCAGAATGACAAAATTTAAAGCTGTAGAACTAAAAAAGAAAAGAAATTAAGAAAGCAAAAATTAAAAAAAGGTTCTCATCTTCCGCACAATTCAAATTCTTTAAAAGTGTAAGGGGGAAAACCTCCATTGCACCAAGGACTAGACACAAACAACAAATTATAGTCAAAAGACTGGGGATTGGGATTTAGTGTTCTCGATCACACAGGGTTTGTACAAAGGTGCAGCCAAGATACACAGCGAGTGCAACTTTGAAGAGAGATTTCATTTGGAAAAAGAATAAAAAACATATAAAAAAAAACATTCCCGTTTCATACAAAAAAATCTGAATTAATCACTCTAAATTCCAGTAACTACAATTGTTTCTGATCCAAATTAACTTTCAAAAACTATTATCAGCTTTTATCAATAATGCTTCATATACATATTAAATATAATCTAGACAAGTATAGTCAAAATTCTCAGATCAGAATTCTAGGACCAAGAACACTGCATTAGATCCAGTTATTAATACATTATTAACATCTCTAATTCTGCAACACCCAGCAGAGCAGGATCAATAAACAGCAGATGCGATATGAAGTTGCCCAATAGAAGGAAGAATTTCTAAGAGAGGGTGAGGAGCAAGATATGCAAATAATCAATGGCTCAGGTGAAGTAGAAATCCATATCACAACAACTAGAACAATGTGAAATAAAACGAATGAAGGTGATGAGACACAATGGATGGTGCAGCTGAAAGATTAAAGGTCAGTTTGGAATATCTTTCTCACTTTTTTTATTTTTAGATTATAATTATAATTTTGTTTTGTTACTATTTTCTCATTACTTTCTAAAAATTATTGTGGTAGGAAGTTACTTTTTACAACTTGAGCTGCTACTGTGTGGTAGCTTTAAAAACACAACTATTTAATTAAAAAAAAAAAATACATTTATCACTTTTAGGATATTTAGAATAATTATCATATATAACAATTCCATCATCATGTGATTTAGTCTCATCTTATATTCAAAATCTTCTTTAATCATTATAATTTTCTTCTTACTCCTTACTGTGGGCTCCGAAAATTCGGCCCCGGCCTCCGCTCGCTTTTTCTTATTCGGCGAGGGAGTTTTAACAAACTAAGTTCCGGGGTAAATTTTGGAAGGCAGATGGGTAATATTTTATTATATTCATTCTCCCAAAATTATATATATAATAGCCAGGAGATTAGTACAATCATTAATCCATACATAGTTCCTGATTGCAAAAGAATAAAATAAAAACCGAATAAAATAAAACAGAATAAAATAAAAAGGAAAATATGAGAATCTTTATCAATCTCACTCCAACTGGTCCTGACATGAAATCAATAAAATTTATTAAATGAGCTAAAAAGTCCAGCAGTAACTCAAATTCATTAAAACTTTCAAAATAAGGCATAAAGAATTAATATGCATGCTCAGTTCAGCCAATGTAATCAATTACATTCAATATCATTCGTCAATGATCTGTTATTATTCGTAAAGCTCAAAATGATCAATAACAAAAGCAAGAAATCATTTTAAAAAATTGATAGTCGATACGAGAATTAGTAAATCCATAAAGCAATCGTACTAAGTGCATTCATAAATCAATAAATGAACCATAACCTACATGCATCAATATCATCGATTTTATTTCTTTTATCAATTATCAATCATATGTATCATATATAATATATATACCCATTATGATTAATCTATCAATGATATCCATGCCCATTACAGTTCTATCTATCAATACTATCAATACATACATGATTCATTATATGAGTCAACAAGGCAGGACATCCAACTTTAATATGATATTTTTATCATCTTTTAACCCCAACTGCTTCCCAATTAATCATCAGTCATATCCATCATAATTATCATTTATCGGCAAATCAATTATCATTATATGTGATTTTCATTAAATCAATAAAGAGTCGTCACTCTTTGCCCGTCGACAAAATCAATCATTAGTTACATGCTAGAACCGAAATAACACCATAAATTATCTTTAAAGAAAAATTCATAGACCCACCTTTCTGTATAGAGTATTATATTTTAAGAGTCAACCCATATTAATTTATAGTGTTAACAAACAGCCTTTCTCGCTTTTATAAAATGTATTTTAATATATGAAATGTAATGTGAAATGCTCAACTTTATAAAATACAGAAAAATCTATATAACATTTTATAGTTTCAGAAAATCATAGCTTTCATTTTACCGAGTGAAATTTAATAATATTACAGTCAAAATATTCATAAAATCTGTATCTATCGTATACAAAAAGTTACATGATAAAAATATAATAAATAAGGAGAAGATGTATTTTTATCAATTTATGAGAGAATAAATCCTTCAAACTCAAAATAATTGAAAACTAAAATTAGATTTCAGTTTCTTACTACGATTAGAAGAAATCAAAATCTTCGAAAATAATCAACGGATGAAAATGCCCCGAATGCCTTTCTCTCTCCTCCCTATCTTTCTTTCCTCTCATTGCATGGCAAGCCTAAGCAAATAAGGCGAGGGGAGAGGTGACAAGGATATCTATAATAAAATATATTAACAAGGATAGTTAGTGGCCTAACACTGCAGCACTCCGAGCTAGCGTCACAGTGTTGCATGTGGAATTAGAATTACTGTAAAAATAGATACTTAAATGTTGCAGCAATAGCTTTTTGGCGCCGTTGTGCTCTCAACCCTAGTGCTGCAACACTTACAAGCACAGCGCCATTGCGCTTCAGTTCAGATAGAAATTCATTTTTTTTCCATTTTGAAATATTTTCATATCTTCGAGTTGCTACACAAGGTGCCTATTTTTTTACTTTTAATTTTGTTATTGAGCATAATAAAAACTAACTTGTTCATCATCCTACAGCCAATCAGCTTCTCGTCTTTGTTATACACTATTTGAATGTATACCAATTATGTCGCATGTGAATGTTAAACAAGTAAAATTGATAATTTTGACAACAAAATCTTTAAATTCAAGCACGTCATCTTCAATATCCATACATGCATTATTCCCGTATTCTGCTATCGAAGTTGGAGGAATAATTACTTGAGAGTGATTATTCACATCTTCATTCAAATTCATAACAAATTTACTCATTGGCCCCCAACTCCACTATCAGAAGGAAGAAAACAACATCCCCTCTAAGAATCATCTTGTTGAAAATCAAACTAAGTGCTATTCCCAATTATTTCCTCCATATTTTTGAACTGCTTTCTTTGAGGTTGTATGATTTTTCAAAATTTTGAAACATTTCTTTTTAACATTATCTAACACTTTTTTACATGCTTAAGATGAGTGTAAGCTAAGAGATCTTTTAGTATCTTAATGCCCTCAATAATTCTCTTATCACAAGATTTATTTTTATCACAAGATTTATATTTCAAACAAAAATAAATCTCTTTTCACACCTTCTGCTACTTCGCTTGAGTGTCATATTACCAAACTAAATCTTTTCTAGCACCACCAACCATTACAATGAACTAAAAAATAATAATAACACATAAAATTAAGAAATAAAGCTAAGAAAAATTAAAATAAAATCAAAACCCTAAAAGAAAAATTAGTTATAAAACAAAAACAATCAAAACCCCAAAAAAGAAAACATTTAAAAGAAAACTAAGAAAAATAAAAATTAAATTTAAAACATAAGTTAAAATAATCAAAAGAAATGTTAGGAAAAATAAATTAAAATATTAATAATTAAATAAAAAAAATAAAATCTAAAACCTAAAAGAAATTAGCTATAAGAAAAATTAGTAAACATAAATTAGAAAATAGTGAAAAATAAATAGGAATAAAAATATTAAAATTAAATAAAGAAAATCATTTATCTTTTTTTTAAGAAAATAAAAGAAAAAATACTTATCCTAAAACCACCACTTAGGAACACACATTCTCAAAAACTAATCCTTCGCTCTTGCATTGTCTCTCGCACGACATGTAATCACTTGCTCAACTCTAAACCCTTCAGTACTTGACTAACCAAAGAAGAATAGAAACATAAGTAACATTATAAGCAATATTTAAGTAAAATATAATATAATATAACTTTTATTTATTTATTAATTGTGGAGCCTCAAATGCTTAGAGACAAAGCCTAGAAGCGACGTCTCAACCCAAAAAGGCATAAGCTACACCTAAAGCAAAGTGCAGTAAGCCTTGAGGTATTTTGTGTGCATCTCATAGTGCGGTGCGCCTTGACCACTTTTTTAATCCATTTTCTAGCACAATGTTTGTGCACCACTTTGGTCCACCTGTGTAGCTTGACTAGCAAGTTAACCAAGCCCAAATGACACGAAAAAGCCTCCACGATCATAAGTGAACCTTACATCTCCCAAAAGATTCAATTAAAAGGGGTATCATGCTAATACCTTTACTAAGCCCAAAAAACACAACATAAGCCAAAAGTAAATGCCCTTTTAAAATCTAACAACTTGCTAAAATTACTTCATATGGTTTGCATTTTCATGTTCAGTTTTGGCATGTGACCACTATATGCAATTGATGCTCAATTCAAGCTTAATGGTGTTAAGGCATCATGATTTTTATCCTTGATAATTGGTCTTTCCCTGCTTTCATTCATTTCATTGCTACTTCCCTTTAACAAGTAAAAGGAGGTACAGGAAGTTGATTTTGTGTTCTTATTCTCCTCTTTTTCCTGCTATAGCATGCCAACATTATAGTAACCCTAACCTATCACTCTTCTTCACTTTCTTCTTGATTTTTTTATCCATAATTTGTTTTAACAAATTTTGAAATTCCAATACGAAGTGTGACTAATAGTTTTGCACTGTCATATTTGAATTGATGTAATTCATATATAAAAAAAGCAATGATACTATTCTCATTCATATCATTTTAATAAAATCATGAAGTGCTAGCTACTTAACCATGACTACCAAATATGTTATTTCTGAATTCCTTTTCTTATAGCATGCACTTCACGTGACTTTTTCAAAATTTGTATATTATTAATTTCGCCTTAGTAAAGTACACACACGCGTACTATTACTATATATATATTGGCTATAAAATAATGTAAATTGTCCAAAACAAAGTCGTACTATTAACTCTACCATCTAAAACTATCTTAAACTTGAAGACTCTAAAAGAAAAAGATAAGTGTAACATTATAAAAGGGGCAATCAAGAAACCTACATCACCTAAATATATATGGCACCCCCAAAAAACTTTTTTCTGTCAAATGCAACTCTTTCCTAAACCTCCCCACCAGACCTAAAAGAAGGTACGCAGGCATGAAAATCAGTTTTCTATGTTGCTGACGCTATCTTTTTCACAAAAAATATATGAACTTATGAAGTATCAATGTTTATTTCAAATCATTGTTTTGAATACATTAAACTGTTGATCCATGGGAAATGAGAGTAGATTAACAAGGAACTTGAACCAATGCGCTAAGACTACATAATTAAAAATCAAGACAAGTGTTGATGTTTAATTACTTATGGTATACCTAGAAAAAATATAAGAAGCTCTAACTTAATATTTAAAAAGTAACAAAAGGATAATCTTCAAAAGGAAACAAAATTGTTAAGAAATTAACCAGCTTATGTGAAGCAATGACAAACAGAATGTAATACTGGGAATGAATCACATTATTAAGTTGTCAATGACTAGTTTATTATGAATTCCAATTGCAATTTAACAAAAGAAAATGTAGCAAGACTTTACACATTATTGCAGAACACCTCTTTAGAGTTCTCACAATTCAGTATGTCATATCTCTCCAGTTTAGATCCATTATGATGATGAATTTCTTGCCAGAAGTGATGCAGCTGAAATTTATCAAACAACACCGAGAAACACAAGTAGCAAACCATATTTTTCAATTTTAAAGATTGTCATATAAGATCTCCTTATCAAAGAAAGCTAGGTATTAAAACGGTTAGCCACTAAAATGCTGAGCTATACTAGTTAAATAATTTAGGATGTGTCTATCCATTCAACAGGACCTCACAGCAGAAACAGGAAAACAACATTCTGATTGTCTGTGTGGTATCAATTAGAATTTCCTAGACGACTTGGTTGTAATACCACTTTATTTGCTAAATGAATTATGATCATGAATTTAGATCTTTAAATATCTACTAAATATAAATGATGTTTTAAATAATTTATGTAATCTGAGAAATTTTTTCTGGCTATGCCACTAAACCCCTCTCAAACATAAATGATGAAGGATTTTTACGTCATAAGTTAATATCCACCAGTTCTTTACATATCAAAATATTGAAGAGAAGCAAAGTATACCAAGACCTAAACAACAGCCAAAGTTGCAGACTACACTAAATCTGCAGAGAAAAGAAATGGAAAAATGTTAGAAGATAAACCTTTGTTGACAAATCTATGATCCCAGTCCTAGTCTTAGGTTCATATCCAGGTGGTGGAAATGGGTAGCACCGAGACATTGCACGGTGAACCTGGCTCTATTCCTGATAGTATCCAGAATAGCTGCTCAACTGAGCAAAAGAAACAGGAGAGTTGCTTCCGCCCATTTACCATGTCCTCACACTCATTTCCAGCTCAGAACATCTTGATTCCTTCCTTGGAGTTACAATCCTCAGCATATACCTCCTTCCAATGACAAAACCAGGCTGATAAATGTAAACCAGATCAATCCATGCAAAAAATCCGCTAAAGGAACCAAAAAGTCAAAGACAGCCCATTTCACCAACAAGATACCATCCCATACATAATCAAACATCTAGCTACTCACCAATCGCATGTCAAACCACCAGAAACCAGAACACACCAACAAAACAGTTTTCAACAGCAGAAGCGTCCAAATCGATGCCGAACTCTCCTGAAATCTAATGTGCAATCCTCTTCCATGTCTACAAGGAAAACCCCACAGCCAAGCACAAAACAAGGCACTAACCCAACACAAAAGACAATAACGCTGACAAAAATCGATGATCGCAACCCGATCAACTGAAAACCCTCTTCAACCAAGCCCCAAATGATCAATAGACATAGAAGAAACCCTAACTGAGAACAATTTGACGAAACCACAAAAGCTTGCGCAGTCGGAAAGGCAGGAAGATTGGCTCCAAGAGACCAAAAGTTAACGGAAACAAGTCTAAAACTTCCAATTCCAGTAAAGAAGTCTGAAGAAGAAATACTCCAAAGAAAATAGAGTGGTGAGGATTACAGTTAGAGAACAAAAAACTACTCTCCACCTCTCTCTAATCTCTACAGATCCTTTCAATCTCTATTTCCCTTCTTCTTGCAAAATTTTCAACAGATTTTGCTGTTAAAGCTCTGAAAAGAAGAAGAAACGGCTGCAACACCGCTAATCCCCTCCCTGCCTCTCTCTCTCTCTCTTTCTCTCTCTCTCTTTCTCTATCGGCTCTCTCTCATGAGAACTGGCCAGCGAGAAACGGAACCGATCACTTGGAGGGAGGCTTATTTATAGAATATTAGGGGCAGAAATGTAATTTGATTTTTTGCGTGATATGTTGTTTTTCATACTTTCTTGTAAAATATATCCATTCCAAGACAATTAAAATATTACAAACTTTTCATCTTTCAATTTTTTTTAATTAAGAAAAGTAAAGATTCTATATTTCTATGCCTCATATTATTTTAGCATCTTATTTATTATAAGAAATGTAAGCTAATAAATGTAATAAAAAATTCAATATTTATTTATATTATGAAAATATTTAAATAAAATTTTAAAACTCATTATATAAAAAATAATTTTGAATATTGAACCTCTCATTCATTTATCGTTATGAATATTTTATTATTATTTAATAAATAGATCCTTAAGAACTCGATAAAAATTTATTTATTGATAAATTAATTATTAATTTGATGACTTATTATATTTTTTGCATAAATTTATATATTTTTTAAATTTTGTCATTATTAGAGGTATAAGGATTATGAAAGTATTAAATAATTAGATAAATAGGTAGCTTTAAATTTATTTTTTTCTGAATAATAATTAAATTTCAAATAATTTAAATAATATATTATGAATTACACTAATTTTGATTAAAATTTATAAATATAATTAGATCTAATAATTAGAATATATTTCATCAATATGTTTGAATAAGATTCGGAAATTGGTGTCATTATCATGTATGATTGGAATTTAATAAGAAAATTAAAAAATAAATTTGGATTAGATAGCACTCAGCTCGATTTGGTTCATTTATAACTTTGTGTAATATAATCCTATTTAATATAAGTTGAATAAGAACATGATTCGAATTTTAAAATCGTGTTTATATATTAATTTTTTATGCATTACATTGGCAATATATTCTTATAAATAAGGGAGTGTAACTGTGTAAGAGTTTATAAGCATATTTGCTCTTTAAAATTGAAAATACAATAAAGTAAAATAGAGAAATTTTATAATTTTGGACGGCTGCAAATTGAATCTAATTTTGTAGTGGGACCTTAAAAAAAATTGTTATATTATTCTGTAGGTAATTTGTCTTCTGTCCATCTATTTTTTGATCTTTATTACAATGATTTTTAGGCAATTGCCCCCCCCCCTCCCCTCTAAAAATTTTAAAATACTATAATCTTTATACAATTTCCCCCCCCTTCCTCTGAAAAGTAAGGCTAGTTCTGCCCCTGTTAATAAGTTGGTTTAGAGCAAAATCTACCAATTAAGAGATCTTAAGTTCGAAGCTTACATATGTGTTGTGTGTGTGAGTTTACGATTTAATTCATTCAAAAGTTTCCAAAAAAAAAACTTATCTCTAAATACAAAATTAACAGTATTAGGCTTCATTTGTGACAACTTTTTAATGTTTTTTAAGCAATTTTCAAGTATCAAAAATTTTTTATACTAAAAAACAGTTTTAGAAAGAAGTAAAAAAGTTATCCCAAATGAGACCCTAATTTCTTTTACTTATTTTCAAAGTATCAATAGTACAACACCTCCTTCATTTAACCTCCTTGAACTTTTAGTTCAAGCCAATGAGGGAATGGCACCAATGCTACGACTATAGCTCTGCTCATCAGCTTATATACAACACTAATATTTACACATATTATATATAAGTGAATCATACATGAGCACAAAGAGATTAAACAAAACCCATGAGTTGCGACAATATGAGTGGGGGTTTCTTTTGGCATAGGCTTTGATGTGTAACTTGTTGTGGTCTTAAATATCATCTTATCGTCACTAATAGCTCATCTTATATTGATAATATTAAATTTTCTCTCTATCTTTATTGTCGTAAATGTTTGGATACGTAATAATAATGCATCAAATGTGTAGAGGGTTGAGTAACTCTGATCCTCTTGAATAAACGACATAGTAATGAGGCAATGTGGATGTTGTAGGAGGTCATGGTGTAGCTCCTCCTGCTAATGGAGTGGTTTTTAGTGCCTAAGAATTGATAATTTTTTTTGTGCAGAGTCCGAACGGGAAGAACCGTCCGAGCATGCGAGTATAATTTGTTCACAATGTATGATCACATATCCGGACGGTTCTTCCTGTCTGGACTCTGCACAAATATTTTTTTCTAAGAATGAGAACCTGCCATCGCATGTGGCCTCACTCAATCTCAGCATTTTAATACTCTCATTTGAGTGGGTCAAATGTCCAAAGCTTTGAATTTCATATGAGGGCTATTATGTTTATTTAGGTTTGTTTGATCTATGATTCAATTAAATCAAGCGAAATTATGCATCAACTATGACATTTTAAATTTTCTTGATTTGTGTAAACATAAAAATTAATGCTTCACCAAATAAGAAGTTTTATTATCTTAGAATTAATATTTAATTATTTTATATTTCCTTGAATACTCAATAGTTTAATATATAAATATTTTCAATTTTTTCAGGCCTCTAAATTTTAACTAAAAATTATTGAAATTTTATTTTTTTAATATTAAAAAGTAACCATACGTAATCTATTGATATCATACTCTATGAAATAACAAATATTAGACAACTAATTAATAATCTTAAAAATATATATATTAATCAAATTTTAGTTAAAATAATGTTTAGTATTATTTTAATTCAATTAATTAACACCACATTCATAATAAAAAAAAAAGTTAATTTTTAAAAATTTTCTATCAATTGAAATTTGATGCAATAGCCAAAGATAATTTTGTCCTCTTAAAAAAGAGAAATTATTATGTACGATCATCGGATTATCTAGAAATGAATTAGGATTATCCTATTAAATACCTCGGCTTACCTATTTTTATAGGGAATTGAAGGCTTTGGATTTCCAACCCTTACTCCAAAGAATTGCCACCACCCTTGATGGTTGGAGAGCCAAAGTCTTCTCCCTTGCTGGTAGACTCCAGCTTCTTAAATTTATTGTATGCAACACTCTTGCATATTGTATTAGGGGTTCCATTCTACCAAAAAGCTGCTGCAAGTCTATTAATCGTATGTGCTCTAGGTTCCTCTTCTTTGGTATTGTGAATCTTAGAAAACTTCATATTATTGCTTGGAAGTACACCTGCACCCCTAAACCCAATGGAGGGCTTCGCATTCCCTATATTAACTCCCTCTACCACATCTGCTCTTGTTCGATAATCTGGAGATTTCTTAACTCTAGCAATCCCTTATTCGACTGGTGGTGCTCTAAGTACCATTCTCTCTGGAATCCTAAGATTGCTAAATGCTCACAATACTAGAAATATTTATGCAAGGTGGCTGGCAACATTAGACATTGCATTACTTTTTTATACATTCCGAGAGCAATTTGTCTCTTTTATAGGACCCTTGGTGCAACGACTCTTCTATTGTTGAACTATTGAATGATTCTATCTATATCAACTGCTTATCTTCTCTCTATAGCTGGAAGGTTTCGTCTGTTTTAAACGGTACAAGTTGGTCTCTACCATTATGTTTTGATGGCTCGATTATTACTAAAGTTCACGGTATTCCCATTAGTTCCACCCCGATAAATCATAGATGGTTGGGATCCCAGAATCCCAATTTTAAGAGCATTAATGACCAATTCTACTCTCTGTTTGAAGTTGTTTTGTGGCATAAACTAGTGTGGCATAAATGGTATTCCCTCTGTTTTTCTGCGTACGTCTGGTTAGCTTTCAAAAGGGGCCTAAAAACAACATACGTCTTAAAAGCCTGTGGGATTAACACATAATCAACTTGTTGTTTTTGTTTTTTAGAACATGAAACTATATCCCACCTATTTTTTGTGTGCAGCTTTACTTACAACATCATAAAGCACTTTCTCCCTTGGCTGAGTCACCTCCTTATGAGACCGAATATTCGCCAAGCCTTTAATAATATTCTGCAATAGAATTTATCAAGGAATCATACTTGCTACTTCAAACTTGATTCATGTGTTGTTATTTATTATGTTTGGAGAGTCAGAAATGATATAATCTTTAGAAAAATTTTTGAATGCCAAGAGAGGTGATTATAAAAATTAAAAAAGCTATTATGCACAAGACCTCAAACTGGAAAGACAAGATCTCTACTTAGCTCCAATCTTATTTCTCGCCTTGCTTCCCGTTGCCTGGGAGTTTTGGAAGGACAATGATGAATACTGATTTTATCAGCTACCCCTTGGACATTCTCTTTGGCAAGCAGGGGTTCTGCTATTGGTGCTATTTTGGTGTGTCCCGCGATCCTACAAGAGTTCGTGAGTCCTTCAATCTTGTAGATTGATTTTTGTTTCTTGTTTGACCTTCTTGGTCCTTTTGATCTCTAAGTCTCTTGTTTGTTTTGAGCTCCTGTAATTTGTTTTTTTTTTGTTTTTACACTTTAACTTGTATTTGCTTTTTATAAATGATACGGGCTTTGCGCCAAAATTTCTCAAAAAAAAATTTACTCCTAATTCACCTCCAAACGGTATCCAATTAGCACACGTAATAATTTCTCTTTAAAAATCACATTTTAAGTGAGGAGAGAAAGGAAGCTACCAAGAAATTGGGAAACGCGTGGAAGCCAACCATGCATGTGTGTGTTAGGTTGTCTCTACTCTGCCATTCCAATGGTGTGGCGCCACGTGTCGCGACTGCAAAGAATCCCTGTCTAGTCAATTACTCCGTGGACTGTTCTCCAGCTCGTACTGCAAAAGGCTTTAAATTACTAATTTTTTTTTATTTATTTTAATTGGTACCATCAAACACAACTTTAATGGTATTAGAGATATTTTATATTACAAATATGAAGAGAGTTAAAAATACTTGAAAAAAAGTAAAAAAATAAAATTATTATTTTTTAATTACGAATAAAGTTTTATAGCTAAATCACTTGGCTTGCTTTCATGGTAAAATTTAAGAAGCATATTAGGACTTCTTTTCATATTTATTTAATATCTATAATACAAGAGTTGATAAATAATTCGATCAAAAAAATTAAGATTTGAATTTATCTGTATGATAAATAGGTTGAGTTCATATTTCTAAAATTTAGACCCGTTTAATTAACTGATCGTGTTCGGATTGACTCATGAATCTGATTTTGATCTGATAAGTTGTTTTATGTTTTTTCTTTAAATTATGTTGCTCGTCGGTATGCTCTTCTTAATTATGCTCAATTCGCTTAAGCTCTATAGTTAATGATCAATTCACTTAAGCTCTATAGTTAAAGTTATATATATAATTTTTAATAAAAAAAAAAATTTAGTAAGGTTCAATAGAGTTAGATTGTCAACGGGTCAGATTTTAGTAGGGGTTTCAGTATTTAACATGACCCAAAAAATCTGAGTTAGGGTCAATCCGTTTTTGACACGGGTCAAGTTCGGGTTCAACAAGCCGAACCATTTCAAAAAATCATGTTGGTTTAGGATGACCTAGAACCCCGAGAATGATTCGTAGTAGGTCGCCTGCTCGCATAGGCTGCCCTGATGCTTGCTTCACTTGCCCGTGTGCTCGCATCGCCTATCGCGCGCCTGAGTCACCTGCCGTGTTGCTTGCTCGCTTCTGCCCGAATAGCCTGCTCGCTTGCCCAAGTCACTTGCTGTGCATCCCCCCGTTGTTGTGCTGTTGTCGCTGCCTGGTTGTTTCCGTGCTACTATCGCAATGCCGCTGTCTGGCCGCTCCCAATGCTGCTGGTCGGCTGCAGTCTTACTGGTCAGATTGTGTTGACCCAAACCCGAAGTGGGGTAGGTTTAGGTTCAAAAAATTGACCCATTTGCATAAACGGGTCTTGTTCAAGCTGACCCGAGTAGTTTCAGGTGAGTTCCGGGTTCGACCCGAATCGGACCAGTGACCAAATTTTGACACCCCTAGATTTTAGTCCACCTTTTTGACCGAGTTCATTAAGTGAGTCGGGTAGGAATTTACTAGATTCATATCGAGTTAATATCAGATCAAGCCAAAACTCAACTCGTTAATTTTTTTAACACTGATTATCTAGAACAATAAACTTAAAGAAAACACACATAAAAAAATACATATTAATATGTTGATAATGTGATTATATAGCATTCGGTATATAATTTCTTATTGAAAATTACTAATTTAAATGACATGTAAATTATATTAAAAAATATCTCATACACATTTATTAATATTTTTAATTACAAAAACCATAATATTAATCCACCACTTTCTTCTACATGACATGGGCCTTATATGGCACGCCACATACAAAGATGTTGCTTTAATTAGAGATTTTTTTTTAATAAAACTTATATTTATTTCATTTATTTGCTAAAATGGGCAAAAATACTGAAATAATAATTAAAAGGGAAAAAAATACTGAAATAATAATTAAAAAATAAAAATTAAATTAAATTCTATATAATGATGTATAGAAGGCATTACTCATCATTTTAGGCTAACAAAGTCAAAGGGATGCTTAATTAAGTGTATTTTTTTAAAGAAAATAGGAGAGGACATATGCAATTCTTATAATTTTTAATTGGAGTTTAAATTTAGGAGAGGACTATTTCTTATTTTAACAATAATAAAAAAAATATTTATAAATGAGTCACTAAGGCTTGTATTATATAGACATAAAATCCAAAGCATTGAAACTTGCAATGCTAGTTTCATAATACTTTGATTAAGTAAAAAATATTTTGTGATTGAATATGATATCAAAAATTAATGACTAATTTGTTTCACTCGTGATTTTTTTTGGAAATATTCAAATTTTTTGTGATATGTTGTATTTCATCATTAATATATTTGTTTGCATATTTAGGAGCTATGCGATTTGTCGTTGCAATGTTTGGTTTAAGCTGCAACAGTCAGTTGTTTCGGTACACATTTGTCGTAAATTTAAAAAGAAATTCACTATGCATTTCGTAGAGGTGTCAAAATTTGACCTCACTCGAATCTGACATGGACCCGCTCTAGAAAAGTCTGGGTTTGGGTCAATCAGTTTATCCAACGGGTTGGGTTTGGGTTTAGAAACTTGACCCGTTTTAAAAATCGGGTTGGGTACGGTTGACCCGAGAACCCGACCACGATCCCCAACTTTGACCCGAATTTAATTAAACCCTTTGTGTTTGAGTGTTTTAATATTTGTATAATAATGTAAATGTAATATTGTAATGTATATTAGTATTTAGTAAATGTAATTAATGTTTTACATTATTTTTTATAAATGTAAATATGTAATTTGTAAATTAACAATTAGTGTTAATATTTTGTAAATATAGTTTTTGTTCATTTATAATTGCTCAAATAATCAAATAATCAAATAATTATATGTAATACAATATTTTGCAGGCACTACATTTTCCTTGCATTTAAAATCATCACAATTTCAGTAAATTCTGAAACCATTAAAAATAAATATTTTTTAATATTCAATATCTTCCACTTAAATATTCTATATCAAATCAAATAATAAAAAAGATGGGATTTATTTACATAACACTTAAAATTATATCATTTGTATATTTAGCATATAAACTTCATCTTGTATATAATATATAAGTGCGCTTGCCCGATCAAGATAATTTTTGCGTGATGTATCAATCATATAAACTTCATCTTGTATATAATATATAAGTGCGCTAATGCGAGTTAATGGCCTCTGGCGGATTAAAAAGGGTAAGGGGGAAAAATATTTTAAATACTAGCCGTTATGAATTGTGTCAGATCTCTCTAAGGTTGATAATGGATGGTCAAGATAAACATAGAAATTGGTAAATATACTATTTTTATAACTCTTTTCGTATATTCCTGACCCCACAAATTACCAAAAAACAACAGGTTTTAATTAGTGGACAACCTGAGAAGTTGAGCAATAAAACACAGATGATTTTATGAAAACAATTTATAAATTCCCAAATAGATTTATGTTAAAATTCTTCTTTTTTTGTTTTGACATATTTGAACATAAATAAATAAACAAAAAAATCATTTATTTATTTATTTATGTTAAAGTAAATAATTAAATAAATGATTTTTTTTTTGGACCGAATCGTCTGCCTCGTCATGATTTGTTTCTTTGGCCATCTGTTACGAATAGATCCTCCCATCGCTCAAAATCTGCCTCCTTGCAAAGACCCTTTACCATCTGCCCAACACGTGGCGGAACGCTACGGTCCCGAAGGTCCCCATCAACTTTCTCCAACAACGCCACGTGGTAATACGCTACATAAACGGCCATTCCACAACTTAAAACTCGTACTCGATCAACCAACACAACCACGCGTCATCTGCTTTCGCCACGTGTCTCTCTTCTCACCAATTTTGTACATCTATAGCACAGCAACACGTCAATAAGCCACGTTCACTATAAATAATTACACGTGTCCTTAAATAAGACGGTAACAATCTCTAAGGCTGTTTGAAGCAAAACAGCTTACTATTTTCTCAGGTGGAACCGGTTTTGCTCTAAACGAACCACGTGTCGACGGTTCCGATGAGCGGTGGCGCTATATAATGGAGGATCTTCTCCCCTACCGTTTTAAAAATCAGAGCAAAATTTTGGCTTTTGATTTGTTTGGAGAGATCGCTGGAATGGAGCTGGATTTGACGGGACGATTGGAGAAAAGAACGGTGGATACGGTGGCGATGGATTCGCCGGCGGTGGTGGAAGAGAATGGGATGGATGCCAGGCTAGAGCTTTCTCTGAGGTTGAGCTCCGGCGAAGTGGGGTCCAGGAAGCGGGTGCGGGAGAGCGATGAGGCGGTCGAAGCGAAGAAGCCGAAAATGGAGGAGGGTCCGGTGCCTTATGCTTTGCAGTTTATACCGGTGATTTTGCAGGCGCCGAACGGCTATTGCTATGTTTCTATGATGCCCTGCTGGGTTCCTAGCTCTGTGGATGCTGTCGAAAATAGTGTGTATGAGCCGAGGGGCAACCGGAGTTTGGTGGCGGAAATGGATGGAGTCGCTGCCGGTGATTGCCAGGCGGAGGCCGCTGGTCGGCTAAGTTCGCAGGAGAGTAGTATTTCTAGGACCTCTGTTCTTCAGAGTCTCTCTGCTAAAGGTACAAAGCTCTGATCTTTTTCAGAAAAATTAGTTTTTTTTCCCTTTTCTTTTTTAATAAATTGAAATCGGGTTGTCATTGCTGATCTTGTTGCACGATTTTTAAGTTTTAGATAATAGAAAAATCATTACATGTAGTAATAGGATGAAAGAAGCTGCAAAATTTCAGCTTCTGGATCATTTATCACTGTGCAATACAGTGATTTTTGCCTCACTTTTATTTGAAATTACTCAAAAAATCCCCTTTAAAACTACGAAGAACTTATTAAATGTAAGATTGTTTTTACTTTTCAGGAGAAAGCAGCAGCAGTACTGAATCAAGGAGCCATTCAAGTGGTGCCACTACAGATAATACTTCGCACATTTCTTCATTCAGAAACTCGAAACCAGGACTGAAGAAACCACCCACTCCTACCAAAGGACGAAAAAAGCCAGCTTTAAGACGAAAGCGTGGAGCTTTAGTTTCTACGCAAAGCAGTGAGGGGAAGAAGATCAATGGATGCTTATACCAGTGCTCTGAGAGTGAAGTGAGAATTTTATGCGACTGCCATGGGAGCTTTTTCTCGCCGGCTGATTTTGTGAAGCACGCTGGAGGGCCTGAGACTCAGCATCCATTGAGGCAGATAACTGTGGCTCTTCCATCATGAATTACTCAACTTCTTTTTCTTTTTCTTTTTATTAAATACTTTTTAGGGTTTCGTAGGCATTAGATTGTGAAAACAGAGCAATGTATATAAATTTCGGCATTTTGGCAAATTAAGACAAATTTACATACACATTACATTCGTTCTTTTATGTTTTTGGCTTGGTGATGAAGTTTCTCATAATAACACCCATCAATGCTTAGCTTGATTGGTGGACGACTGCGGTTGGGAACCAAACCACTCAACCCGTGCTCGATTCCCTCGGGTGGCAGAGCCCCTCTAGGGGGGACCCAATAACTGTGGGCCACGAATAGTAATAGGTGTGGGTTTCTCTTCTAGGCCAGTCAAGGAGACTAGTGGACATCGCCAAGTGCGTCACAAGCTAACGTGGAAGCATGCCGATACTCCTCGTTCCTAAAAAAAAAAAAGTTTCTCATAACTAAGTAATTTTAAAAGGTTGATCAATCTTTTCTGCTAATATTGCTGATTTTCTAGATATGAAATGGATATGTTTACTGTGTTATATTTGTTGGTAAAAATTTAAGTTATTTGATGCTTGGATTTGTTTAGCTCAAGTTACTTCTTGCTCATTTGATTGTTTGATTGAGTTTGTCAATTCCTAATCTAGGTCACTCTCACTTGATTGAGTCTAATATCTCTTACTTATCCTCTAGCCCAGGCTAGAGTTATACAATTATCTCTAATTTTATAGTTTAGGGTTTTTGATTAAATTAAGGCTAGCCTTGGCTAAGTTAGTTTCAATTCTATGTACTGACTATTCTTAGATTCGACCCCGTAGTTAGCGTACAACAATAACAATAACAACAAAATCAAGCCTTTATCCTACTGTGTGGGGTTGACTATATGAATTTCTATATGACGTCCTATTAAGAGTTAAATTCTTATTTTAATTTAGTACACAAAGGTCATTTCTAATATGTATAACCAAGTTATTTTAGGTCTATCTCTACATTTCTTAACATAGGTCTGATCTAATATATCTATTCTCCTAATCTGATCAGTGGAAGACCTACATTTTATATACAAACCATATAAGGCGATTTTCTTCCATCTTATCTATTATTGAAGCTAGTCAAACCTTATCATGTATATACTCATTATGCATTCTAAGTGTCAAGCCACTCATCCACCTAAACCTCCTCATCTCTGCAATACTTAATTTAGTGCTTCTCTTTTAATGACCAGCATTTTGTGCCATAGAGTATTGCAGGTCTCACCTTTATCTTATAGAATTTTTCCTCTGAGTTTGAGGGATACTTTTTTGTCAAACAACATGCTCAATGCATTCCTCCACTTCAATCATCCAACTTGAATTATACTGATAGTGCCCTTATCTATTTAACCATCACTTAGAACAACGGACTCGATACATCTAAAGCGAGCACTCTTTTTAATGACTTGATCACCCACAGTCACAATCTCACAACTATATCTATTATTATTAAAATTACACACTAAATTTGAATTAATTAGGACCAATCTTAGATTGATCATAATTGAGCCTATGTAACCATTATGGTCAAAATTAAATAAAGCTTAACCTAATTAGGCCCAATGGGTCAATAAATGGTTAAATCATTTAAATTTTGATTATAATAATTTAATTATATTAAACCTAACTAATTAACCACTGACTACTCAATTTTGTAATTAGTCTTGGGTTGGACAAAAAGTAAATCCTTAGCCTATTAATTCTAACTCCCGGACTTAGTTGATTATTTTAGGCCAAAAAAAGTTGATTATTTTAGGCCAATTGTCTCAATTTACTGATAAAATATGTTTCAAACGAGTTTTATTAGTCAACATGACTATTGGACTAGTTTCGATAAAGCTCAAATCCAGGATAATCCAATGTGATTTAATTGACTCAATAGGACTCAAAACTTAGAATAGACTCAAATGACAGTATCTAATTAATAGTCTCACTAGATCCCAATATATTAATTATATTCTAATTGTGTTAATTTGATGATTAGATAAATTATCATAATCTTATTAATTTGATGATTGGATTAGTTAATTAATCTTTTGAATCTAAGATAACATAAGTCAACTCATTAGACCCTTCCCAAAATAATTGAGCCTAAACTTCTAATAAGTCTCAATAGATCAACCATAGGCCAATCGAACTTCAATCGATTCTTGGTTGGGCTACCCATTGAACTCAAGTTGACTTATTCAATCTAATATGGCCAATTTGGTCAAATTGATCAAATTGGATAGCAAACTCTTCTAATTAATCAAAATTACTTGCCATAAAGCTTTAATTTAGCCGAATTGGTTCTAGGATTCAAGTCAAATAATTGGAACCCAGTTAATCAAATTAGATTCCTAACAAAATTCAAATAAAATTAGCTATAGAGCTTCAATAATTAGCTTCCAAATCAACTAAACCTTCATAGACTAATTAATTAGAATTAATAGTAATATAATTGAACTAAATGGTTTAGAATAAGGATTGCCTCCCAATGAGTAGTCTATATTGATCAAACGGATCACCATCATCAACCTTAATAATCCTTGGCTCAACCTAAGTTCCAAGTAATTAAATAGTGTTCAAAACATAGGTTAAGGATTCAACAACATGAAGTTTTTATCCCGCCACATGAGGTCGGCTACATGAATCCTTTTTCGATCCATTGTATTCTGTTAAGAGTCAAATTTTCATTTAAGAATTAAGGTTAAGAATTAAGCTTTGTCTCCAGGGAGATTTACCCCACCAAGCAAAGTGGATAATATGGACATTATTTTGAGCTGATTAAATTTGGAAGCCAGTTATATGGGCCATGTATACCATCTAAAACTTTCGACTTTTCTATGTTTGTGTTGTTAGGATCGACGATTAAAGACAAACTATTGTAATATGTATCCACACATGCATCAAGTTCAGCCTCTTGAGCATTTTACCATTATAAGTCATTCAATTTCATGCATTATAAAGGAAGTGTAATTAAGAGCCTTATGAAATCAAAGGGTAATTAATGGATTCAATTAATTAGCTAAGCTTTATTCAACAATTATTATATCTAAACTCTGATTTTATATTTATATTTTATAATTAAATGCATCATGTTTTTATAATTATTTCATGTTGAATTGCAAGTTTAATAAAAAAGTCATGCATACATTCTCAATTTGAGCATGCATTAACCTTTAATAAATAAAGCATCATATTTTAAAGTATTATTAAAGATTTTAATGATTTTCCACTTTAATTTCTATTTTAATTTTTTTTTTAAAATAGTAAACAATTCTAAAAAAATTAAAAAAATTTTGGTGTGCTAATGATCTTAATTAAGTACAATTATAACACTAATCCCATCTATTTATTTATAAGTTGATTAATTACCAATAATTATCAACCTTACGTTTCCTAACTAGTTATATAATCAATCAAGGAAAATTGGTGTTAATTTATGATTTTATTAATTATCATGCATTTAAAAAAAAATCTTTAAATTATATTTTTGATGGATTTAATGATAATTATTAACATTAAAATATCTATTTAAAATATCAAGATCATATTTAATATAATCAAAATTAAAAAAAAAATAAAATAGAAAAACATAAAAATCAAGGTTTCCTTTTATTCAGTTTAGATCATGCAATTTGAGCAATTTTTTAGTTAAGATTGCTACCACATATTTATATATCAATTAAACCATGTCTTCGTTTGGGATAGCTTTAGACCACTATTTTTTGCTGCTTTTAAGAAATTTTTATACTTCCAATGATGCTATAAAAATAGTAAGAAAATTATCCCAAATAAGCCTAAGTCATCCCAATGTGCTAACTTGATTTAACCACACATATTGCATCACTTTATTATATCATTGCTATTGATTTGAATCCAAGGTAAAAAATTGGGCACCACATCAACAAATCTGACATTGCATGTCTATGCACATTATAAAAATAATGATTAGTGTAAACATGATATATTCTTTGCTTTCATTCCCAATAATTGAGGTTAGTCTTCATAATAGTTTTTGAAAGCAAGCCTTCCATTTAGACCTGTATCATTATGCGGTATCAATCCATTTGACATAAATCAACACATATTTTAAATTAAGTAATAATGTTGACTAATCTTATTTCATCATTTAGCCAGCACACATAAATGATCTTTTTCACTTCAACTCCCATCTTAATTTAAAGCACATCATCCAGCTTAGACAAACCTAGTTTGTCTAAGTCCTTACCCTTTTCTAAAATCATGTAAACCACATAATGAGCTAATAGCCTAATATGATATACATGTAGTGATCATTGTGAACATATAGTAATCAATTCACAAAACAAAAATAACATGTATGTAATCATTCGTATTATATCAATGTGAAAAATCTAACAATCAATATGAATAATGCCAATTCATAGTAGTGATCATTGTGAACAATATCAATCAATATTAATGTCTGCATGGTGGATCAATAATCCATATCTCAATCATATCCTAGTGTATCATGTGAAATGCTACATGAGAGGTTATCATATGAATCAATAAAATCATATTAATATTCTATTAGTTACTAGTACATGCATATATGATATCAATATCAATGCATCATGTCCATGTTCTATCAATTATCGATGCATATTAATGTCATAAGTATTATTTTCAAGCATTACATATATCCATATATCTATTACTATGCATGTCATATCATATTAATATAGGTGTATCATGTATAATGTATATCATGTATTAATAACATGTTTCATATACTTATATTAGTCTTATCACGTATCTTGTTCATGTGCAATATCATATTATATAATTTATGCAAGTTTCATATCATGACATGTTTAGTCATTTATATAATCATGTCATAAATATATCACATAAATCAATAGCTATACAATTCATGAACTTTGATTAATCATATAATATTTTTATGTGTCATGTCATATATTTTTGCATCAGTCATACCATAATCATAGTCAGATAGCTTTTTATAAGTGTCGTTACACTTACCCATTGATGTATATTGTCTTGTTCCATTATGCTTCCATCTTGTATATTGTATGGTTAGAATTACACCATGAACCTTACTTAAAAGAACGCATATCGACTCATACTCCTATATAGGGTATATTGTTTTGGCTAACT